ATAAGCTACCAAAAATCGCGATTCAAATTTTCAAAAAATTGCTTCAAGACTTTCCAAGTCGGACAACACCGCCAGGGTTTTACAGTTTGTGTGTCCTATAACCATCTACTTCATATAAAATATTCATAATTTTTCGAGTGGTGCAACAGTGTTAAACAAACAAAAAACTGAAGAATTTATTTCTGGAAGGGTAGGAATTAGAGCTTGAAAATTATCGATAAATGTCAGTATCGATATTTTCGATACTTTATCATTATCGTATCGATAATATCGATGTTTTCAAGGAAAGCAAAGACAAATTAAAAACTATTTTATAATTCTGTTAATACCACGTATTATTATTATATACATGCATAATACACTTGCATTATTATTAATATTATTATTAGAAAAAATCGCGGTTAATTTATTTAATTTAAATTTCCGGTTTTCAATATTAAAATGCAATTTCAGACTAAAGGATCCTCCTCTTAAGAACCCGTGGTTTATTTATTTTTGATCATTGAGTTGAGTTGCGTCACATGTCTAGAACGACACCAATTCTTAGTCAAAGACATTCACGGCTTCTTAAGAATTTTTTTTAAAATATCTTATGAGGAAATACTTATGTAAAATAATAGAACAAACCTTTGTTCCATCCCATTTTTTGGTACTAAAGAAGAACAAATTCTTCCTCTTCTGAAGAATTGCCGGTTGCTTTTTTTTTTTTGATCCTTTGCCAAAATTGCTCAAACGGTCATCGTTTGGTTTGTTGTTGGTATTAAAAGAACGAGAGTTCCTCTTTTCCCCAAGAAATCGCGGTACTTTCATTTTAGATTTTATGCCACAACCTATGGTTATTTTCCCCTACTTTAATTGATACTATACCATAAAGAAGTAAAAATTCCTCCTCTTCTGAAGAATTCGCGGTTGTTTTTTTTTGGATCCTTGAGTCCAAATCGCTCAAACGATCTTCGAAAAGCGAGAAATTCTTATCAAAGGCTATGTATTCGCGGTTTCTTGAGATTTTTTAATAGCGGACAGAAGGTCGGTAGCTGCAACCAAGATTTTGTTTTTGGTACTAAAAAAACCAAAGTTCCTCCTCTTCCCAAGAACTCGCGATTCTTTTATATGCCATTTTTTGCCATAACCTATGCCCTTTTCGCCTACTTTTAAGTATTTCATAATATCTATGGGACCAAAGAAGAATAAAGTACCAAGAACTCGCGGTTCTTGTATGGTAATTTGTCCCTACTTTAAGTGATTTTGTATTTAAAGTAATTTTGGTCCTCAAAATTAAAGAGTGAAATCTGTTCGTTTCTCTCTAATAAAACGTCAGAAAAACATCGATGTTATAGATAAACATCGATGTTTGAAAAATATCAGAAGTATCGATAATATCGATACTGACATCGATAATTTTCAAGCTCTAGTAGGAATGGAGTCAATAAAATATATTTGGCTTGTAAATAGTTAGTTCTTAGACCAGAATTATTATCAAAGAGTAAAGTTTTTAATATTATGGGTGAAAAGTGGTCCGAATTATAAAATGTTTGGCATGTATTTGCTTGTAATTGATTTAATAGGGATCCAGTCCCAGTCTAGTCCCCACAGCTTCGAATTTAATATCCTCCCTAGACAGAGATTTCATAAGAAATCCTTTGAGCATGGATGACCAACAAATACTTTATTTATGTGATTCTAAAGAATTCGCGGTCCAAAGAGGATTATTTAATATGCGAGATTTCGGCACCGTTGTTATTGCTCGAATTTGTTAACAATTTGTTATCGTGCTCCGCATATTAAAGCTTTCAAATTACTATCTTGCTTTTTACAATAACGATGGTAACGAAAGGATCGCAAATTAAATAATCCTCTTTGGACCGCGAATTCTTTAGAATCACATAAATAAAGTATTTGTTGGTCATCCATGCTCAAAGGATTTCTTATGAAATCTCTGTCCAGGGAGGATATTAAATTAGAAGCTGTGGGGACTAGACTGGGACTGGGTTCTATTAAATCAATTACAAGCAAATACATGCCAAACATTTTATAATTCGGACCACTTTTCACCCATAATATTAAATACTTTACTCTTTGATAATAATTCTGGTCTAAGAACTAACTATTTACAAGCCAAATATTTTTTATTGACTCCATTCCTACCCTTCCAGAAATAAATTCTTCAGTTTTTTGTTTGTTTAACACGAAAAATTATGAATATTTTATATGAAGTAGATGGTTATAGGACACACAAACTGTAAAAAACTGGCGGTGTTGTCAGACTTGGAAAGTCTTGAACCAATTTTTTAAAAATTTGAATCGCGATTTTTGGTAGCTTATAAGAATGGTAAAAATACAAGGATTGGCTGACATTCTTGAAGGTTAACACAAAAATTATTGGCATCAAAAAAGTTTTCTCAAGAACCACCGAAGGGAAGATACATCAAGTGATATGTTCTTTAGTTGCGGCAGATTACTCGTAAACCAGCGGATCAAAATATTTGAAAATTGGAATTCTTATCGATTAGGTTCCTATCTACCAATCCCCATCTAAAATTTTGCAATATCGCCTGGGGCAGTTTTCCCAGGCTTGTTCCCCTATGCCCTTTCTTTACAATCAATATATATCGGATGTTGAGATCGGACTAAAAACTCTTTTTGGCGATTTATAAATACAAAGAATAAAACTTCTTCAGTGCGATCTGTCGTGTTCCTAGGGAATTTATCTTCGCATTCAAATATAAAAACTGCAAATCTTTTTGCTTCTTATTTCAAAGATCATTTTGAGCCAACAGGAGCCTGGAATGATTCTCAAACCTTAATCTCAAAATAATCTTGCCGTTTTCAGCAACTATTGCGTTCATGCATTTAATAAGCGATCTCAGGTTGATGCTATATACACTGACTTTGCGAAAGCCTTTGACAAAGTTAGCCACAGTGTCCTACTGTCAAAACCAGCTCGCTTGGGTATACATTCGGCTTTACTAAATTGGATAAAATCATATTTACACAATCGTCTTTACAGAGTGAATATTAATGGAAATTTCTCTGACTCCTATTTGGCAACCTCGGGCCTCCCTCAGGGGAGTGCTATGAGACCTTTGCTTTTCATTATTTTCATTAATGATGTGAGGTTCTGTCTATCTTCAAAGTGTCTACTGTATGCAGATGATTTAAAAATTTTTAAGTCTATTAAAATAGCGACAGACTCACAATCGGTTCAACAGGACTTAGATTCGTTGAGCTCTTGGTGTAGCCGAAATGCGCTTCCTCTAAACATAAACAAGTGTTTCTATGTTACTTACAGTAAATCTGTATATAATTTCGTCACATCCTATAATATTAATGGTCAACCTTTACAGCTGCGGCAAGAATTCTTGGATCTAGGTGTGATGTTTGACTCGAAATTTAAGTTCTCAGCACACTTCGATTACATCTTGCCCAGAGCATATGCCATGTATGGATTTGTGAAAAGGAACGCATCGCTATTCACTGATCCCTACACCAGACTTGCGCTTTATTTTGTATTTTTCCGATCTGAGCTAGAATATGCAGCTCTTATATGGAATCCCTTTACTAGCACTTATGGAAATAGAATAGAACGGCTACACACAAAAAAATTTGCTTGGTAAAATTGACCAACAAAGATAGTTACGTAACTATTAAAATAGTTACGTGTATTTTGTTTTTGCTTTGGGTTTGTGTCTTTGCTAATTGTGTGTATTTTGTTGTTGTGAAATGACTATTTACTTAGTAGAATTGACAATTTTGCTGGTTGGGGCCTGTTTGACAATTATTACAGTTGATTTTACCAAGTTTTTTTTTTGTGTGTACAGAAACAATTTCTGAAATTTGCTCTATTGCCGCTAAGATTGTTAGACCCTGTTCCTTCATATCACCAGCAATGCAAGCTTGTTCGTCTACCATCCCTTGCCCATCGTAGAAATAGCCTGGCCATTTGCTTTATCTTTTATTTGGTGAATTGTGGTATCGACTGTCCTGAGCTACTCTCGAAAGTTGGTTTTAACGCTTCTTCCCTTTTTTCTTGAGCTGAGGCGGACTAATTATTCCAAAAATGAGCCTCTCTATAGGGCTTTATCTGAGTTTAACGCACTTTCAGCTGATATGCAATCAGACTATTTTCCAAACATAGGTTAATTAATTATTTTGGAAATTTTAGTACATAATATAATTTGTTGGTTATAAGTTATATTCGTTGGCGAAATAAATAAATAAATAATAGTGAAAACAGCATTAAGGTGCTAAAAAAGTGTGCAAAGGGTTAGAATAAAATAGGTGGGGTTTAGGTGAGGTAATATTAGGGTTAATGCGGTGTTAAGGTAAGGTATGTTATGGTTAGAAGGATTAGAATATTAGTGCGTTCTAAGTGGGTTTACTGTTTATCTAAGGTTACGAGGGATTTTAGTTTAATATTAATTTGAATTTGAATATATGAAAAAATCAGCAATAACTGCTTTGCTAATAGTAGCGGACAACGTCGCTTCGGGTATTGCTAGTATAGTATAAAGTAGCGTTTCCGACCCCATAAAGTATATATTATATACTTTATATAAACGCTTCCTTTTAGCTGTTACATACTTTTACACGAATACAACATAACCTTTTACTCTACGAGTAACGGGTATAATTAGTAGTCCCAAAAGTATTTGTAAACATTATGCGCACCTACAAGAAATCTTTTTACAATACATTTATAATGTGAATCGAACTTCATAATGTCATGTTAGAAACCAATTAAGAAAGGACCATTTGTTAAAAAATTATGCGCGATCAAAGTTTTATATCTCCATCTCCCTCGCAGTCCCTTAAGCTGAGTGACGGGTATCTGATAGTCGGGGCACCCGACTATAGGATTCTCTCTTGTTCTTTTTAAGAAAAAAAAAATTTGAGGATATTTCTTATTTTTCAGTAATAATTTTTTCCGATTTTTGATGTTGCTCTTTTGGAGTATTAACATGTACGTATCGTATCGCTAGCGTTGGTTAATTACTACCTACCAGCTTATCCTTGGAATATCTTCCGGAAATGGGCTGCGTCTTGCTGACTGCCGTGGACCAACGATGTGGCAGATTGAGATCATCTTGGGCCAGCTTTAGCTTCGCCGCCAGCTTGGCATGCTGACCTACCGTTGTAGCCTTTTCCCTGCCCAGCGTAGCTGACTTCTGTTTTTCCGGTGTTTTGCTCCGTGACAAGAAGTTCCAACGTTTCTTGCGTTTTAATTCTTTGCTGGCCGCCGACGAGGAAGTGGTGTCCAGTGTCGAATTATACATGGAGGAGTTGGAAGCAGATGTGTTGGCAGATAGATTCATGGCACTGAACTGCTGTTGCAGTGACTCTCCGGCAGGCGTAATCACATCGACCGTAGTTGACTTGCTTAAACTAACTGTTGAGCGATGTTGCCGTGGCGTAGGTGGGATTCCTATATGTGGTGAAGGTGCGTTTCCTACATCTGGTGCGGCACTGGCTGCTCTGGTGGAGCGCTTAGTAGCCTGCGGCTCCAGGAATAGCAGCTCCGTGCTTGCCGAACGGTCTACACCGTAGTTCTGTATTTTCCCGTCTTCAGACTGGGAATTTATAGAAACACTGGCCATATTGTTGGTGCTAGCTTTCCGAGCAGCCGGAACAGGTACGACACCAGGAGCTGATTGTATTGACGAGGCTCTCTGACGCATGACCTTGGTATATGGAGTTCCGCTGCTGCCACCAGAGGCTCGCTGTGGTAGGGGGACGTTCTCATAGATAGGTTCGATGGACCCATTCATCAAGCTCCTCTGAAGGGGAGCGGCTGTGCCAGATTTATGAGAAGATGGAACCACTGGCGGTGGTATCGGACTGATAGCTGGCGGTGGTACAGGACTGCGATAGCCACTCGGCGGCAGGCTAGGTGAACTGGAAGATCGTTAGAATGTTATAAAAAGTTGTCAGAAGAAAAATAGTAGTTTTGACAAGTGACACCCATAAGAATTCTATTTTTATTAATGTTGAATTTAACAGCATAATGGTTTTCTTGCTGAAAATACGTGTCATTGGTAAAGGGGCTTACGTTCTCTAAAGTCCACACATCTCCTATCTTTCTATTAGGGTATTCACCAGTCCTGGCAGGTCTGGCAAATGGCAGTTGTGGCAGGTGAAAAATTCGCATATCCAACAACAAAATACATGAAATAAAAAATTCTAGACCTGCCGGAGGTCGACCTATGCATATATTTTTAATATCAATCGTGGCAAACTTCATGTAACCGTTTGGAAGAGTTCCTACATCTGCCATTTGCCACACCTGCCAGGACTGTTGATTACCCTAAATATTTTATAAGAACACCGGATACATGAATTTGATTAAAACCTTTCGCATATTATGAAGTATTACTTGACTGCTCGAAATATCCTGAAAACTTTCAAGTTTTGACCGATTTAGACGATATAGACGTCCAATCGGAACGCGTTTTTATCCTGATCAAGGTATGCATAAAATAATAAGATTTGGAAAGATTCATGTCAATAGCACTGCGCTGCGCAATTGCACTGCGCGAAATACCTTTATTTTTTTACTTCCTATAGAAACAATCGGATATAGCCGTCCGATAGGGTCGATTTCCAAACTTGATCTGCGTACACATGTTTTAGGACGACTGAGAAAATTTCCATTGACTACCTTTTAAACTAAGCTCGCAAAAGGTAGTAGAAAGAGACGGACATGCCTATATCGACACCCATATTCATCCTGATCAAGAATAAATATACATTATGGGGTCAAAAACGTCTCTTTCACTGCGCTACAAACTTATGGCCAATATTATAATAACCTCTGCAAGGGTATAAAAAGTTTGTAACAGCTAAAATGAAGCGTTTCCGAGCCTGTAAAGAGTTTACAAACCTAGTCAAAAGTATTTTCACAAATTTGAATGTTAACTGTACTCATATTTTGAACTTATAATAGAAACATTTTGACACCTATGGAAAGAGCACTTCAATTCCGTTTAAATGACACAAAAATTTTCTTAACCCATTAAGGACCCTTTGAAAAGTGAGCAAATTAGACAATTTTTTTTTAAAGTCAAATTTTTAACTTTTTCCCTGGGGCTTAAAAAAAAAATGTTTTGATGCAAAGTTCTTCCCCAATCAAAATTAATAATAACTGCAAAAAAAAAAATTTCAAAATATTTTTCCTTGTATTTTTTATGATTATTTGAAAATAGCTATTTTAGCCACTTTTTCTTAATTTTCATACAAAATTTTACTGAGATGTCTCCATTCAAAAAATCATAAAAAATTCAAGGAAAACTATTTTTAAACATTTTTTTTGCAGTTATTATTAATTTTGATTGGGGAACAACTTTGCATCAAAACATTTTGGTTTTAGGCCCCAGGAAAAAAGTTGAAAATTTGACTTTCGCAAAATTTGCTCACTTTTCAAAGGGGTCTTAATAAGTTAAGAACATTTTTGTGTCATTTAAACGGAATTGCTGTGCTTTTTCCATAGGTGCCAAAAGTTTATATTATAAGTTCAAAATATAAGTACAGTTACCATTAACATTTGTGAAAATACTTTTGACCACCCCTGTATATTCCTAATCAGGATCCCTATAACCTAGTCTCGGAAATTGAAAAAGCTAAAAAGTTGAGAAATGTAGAAACAATTGTTCGATTCGGACCATTCATTTAAAAGTTATGAGCAAATAATATATTCAAGCAGTGCAAGCAGTTGCGTTGCTGCATGCATATCTTCATTAAAAACAAGAGAGAACGTTATAGTCGGGTGCCCCGACTATCAGATACCCGTTACTCAGCTAGCAGTGCAATCACACATAACTTTTAAACGAATGGTCCGATTTGAAAAGTGTCTTCTACATTTCGATAGGTATAAATATACACAACCAAATTGCATTTATACAGGACACATTTTAAAATCGTTAGTGGGCGATTGTGGGCGTTAGAGGAGGCGTGGCGCTCGGCTGAAATAAACTTGCGCTGCATAGGAGGCCCAAGAATATGTGTGGAAAATCTCAACCTTCTAGCTTTTGTAGTTTCCGAGATCTCAGCGTTCATACAGACGGACAAACGGACATGACTAGATCGACTCGGCTAGTGAACCTGATCAAGAATATATATACTTTGTAGGGTAGGAAACGCTTCCTTCTAGCTGTTACATACTTTTGGACGAATGCAATATACCCTTTTACTCTACGAGTAACGGGTATAAATCAGGGACCGTAATCATTATAAGTTTGAGCGAAAAAATAACGCTCAAAAAATAATCATTATTTTTTGATCGATATTTTTTTTGCTCACAATAATAATAATTATTCTTTGAGCGATTGAAAAAAACTCAACAAATAATTATTAAAATGGAGTAAAATGTATAAAACTCAAGAAGTAAAAGATCATTGCGGATATGGATTAGAGCCTTGCATGAATCATTCAATTTTTGTTTTATCATAGTATGCCATGAAATTTCTGATTTGTTTAATTCAATTCTATATGAAATAAATTGAATGTTGTTCTAATTCATTTCGAATTGAATGAATTGAATGAATTATTTTATGAATTTTTTGAATTTTCCAGATTTTTTTTCTGTTTTCTTTTGAGAACAAAAAGTGGATAATTTTTAACAAATCAATGTTAACTGCATAGTAAATAAAATTCAGGCAGATTTAATCACAAAATTATGGCCCTTTCTTCTTCAAAATAAATTGTCGTTTGAATTATTTCGGAATTCATGCCATTCATTCATTCAATTCTATTAAACTCAAAATTCAAATTCATTCAATTCTATTAAACTCAAAAATTCTAATTAATTCATTCATATAACAAAAAAAATTCAAAATAATTCATTGGATCCATTCATGCAGGGCTCTAATATGGATAGAGCACACAAATAGTAGCCGATTGGTATAATTCGTTTGTTTGTACGGCTTTTCCAAGTGGATGATTTTTTTGCTTGAAAAATACATCGATAATCATTATTTACGGTCCCTGGTATAAATATACATGTTCGTCATCCATAGCCTAAAGAGTTCTTAAGAAATCGCTGTCCATTGAGGATAATTTTTCCCAGCTATGGAGACTGGTTTCCTATAATACCATATTACTCAGATTTCAAGAATTGTACCTTTGATTGTACCTAATTTGACAAAGAATGATATATATAGCAAATTATAGAAAAGCATACTTGTTTTTATAGCAAAACACGCATCTTAGAAATATAATTACAAGAGAACCATGGCTGACCGCCAACTTCTTTTTGCGTGTAAATCTTATGCTTATTTAATAGGACGCTGCCGACCGCTGATGTAAATTTTTTAAGAAATCGCGGTCCATTTAACTAAAGTATTACCAAATACTTTTCTAAGTTATGCCGATGTTACCATTAAAAATTCTTACATAGACAGTGCCTAAAATCGAAAATTTGGAACTTTGACCACGGATTTCTCAAAACTGTGACGTGATAGAAAGTTTCCAAGAATGGGGTATTACTCTGCAGCTAAAAAACTTTCAAGTTTTGCAGCGTTTATCGTTGGGCTATTTCTTTGACAGTGAAATTTAAATATTGGCTGAGATTATGATCCGAGCCCCGCCTTACCTCTGGGTGACCACGGCTCCCGGAACTGTAGCTGCTGCCTGGCTTATAGCGGACTGCCGCAGCTGAGACATAATGGACGGCTGCTCCTCGATCATGTTAAGGTTCTCAAAGGTGCCGTGCGGTGAAAGGTAGGGTTGCGAGTGACCCATGTGGCTCACATACTGGTACTGGTGCATCATGGTGGCTCCGGAGGAAGTGGGAATGTTGCTGGCATGCGCGCCAGCAGCCAGGGCTACGAACTGTCCGCCATTGAAGAGGGTGCGGTTGGAGACTAGATCGGGTGAGGACCCACTTACATAGTTGCGGTAGCCCTGCAGAGGACGGTGGGAAGCCACGGCAAGGTCAGGCGTGGATGAGGAGCTCAGGCGATTCACGTACGGCGGAGGTGCCTTGTGACGCATCATGTGCATTCGTTGTGAGAGCTCCAGATACGCCTGAGTCGTGCTTATAGGCTGTGGATGTGACTGCGCCTGGTACAGATTGATGTGGTGGTGTAGAGCTGCGGCCGGCTGGGCTACGTCTGGATAACGATGCGCAGTAAGGTGACCATACAGGAGGCTCTCGTTGTGAACACCAGTATTGTGAACATCCGGCTGTGAGCCAGCATAGTATGCATTGCCGGGGGCGGCCAATGCCAGTGTCACGTTGTGAAACTCCGCCGAGGGATTGCTGTACTTGAGTTGCACTGCCGTCTCATAGTCCGGCGCAGGGCGGTATGTAGGCAGCATAGCCTTGAGACGTTCTCGCTCCTCGGTGTTATTGTTGCTGCTGTTTCCGTGGTGGAGTATGCCACTGCTACCGTGAAGGTTATTGTTGCTTAGGTCTTGGCAGGAACTGCTTTGTCCCACCAACTGGTTGGCACTAGCCGCCAGAGAAATGTTCGAGGAAATCATCTGCTGTTGTTGGTGGATCTGTTGCTGATGCTGTTGCAGTTGCTCGGCGGTCGCCGCTTCGACGTAGTCGTACTCCACGTATCCGACGCTATCCACCCCCAGAAGACCTCTCTCCCCGTCAGCTCCACTTCCAAGGCTCGACGGCGTAGCGGTGTCAATATAGCGCTTAAAGAACTTATGCTGGCTGATAGTGAGCTTCCAGAAATAGCGCGCCGTGTCTGCCTCGCTGAAAATAAAGCTTCCCACGATGCTGCCGCCGCCGTCCAGCTTATTTTGCTCGATCTTAATTGTTCTTTTGTCGATGGTCACAGTGTGAAAATCCTTCCAAGGAAAATACTGTCGTCCGTTGTCAGCGTTCACCACCATCCCATTAATGGCGAGGCCAAGCAGCAGATCGTTGCCGAGCGTGTCCTTGGCGGCAAAGCGCTCCTCACCGTATCCGTCCAGTTGCTGGCAGCACTGTATGTACATCTCCTCCGCTTGGCTTTGACCCAGATGTGCAATTCCCGCTTGTTGCTGCAAGACCTCCACGATCAAACCCTCCAGCATGTTGTCGTCGTTGGCCAAGCCCTGCATGTTGCGTGGCAGGACCAGTGACTTCTTCAGGTAGTCTTTACTCTGTTTGTCGCCCTGGTAGCTGTCGTACTCCGCTTGGCGACAGTAGAGCGCCAGCAGTATGGCCGTGCGTATGTCACAGGCGATGCGGCCCTCGTATATGTCGCTCTTTAGCTGAAGGAAGTAGTAAAAGCGCGTGGCCTCGTCGTTCAGGTGACGAACTCCAGTGGTCACGTAGTGTCGTACTCGTAAGTAAATTTTGGGCCCAGCCGCGTTCTTTTCCAGCTGCCGGCTGAGCGAGCGCTCCAGTTCGATCCATTTGAACTCGTCCTCCTTGTCCTTGCTCTTGACTAGGTATCGTAATCCGAAAAATTCGGGTTGCTGAATCAGCAGACGTTGGCAGACATTGTCTAGGCACTCCTGTCCTTTACTCTCCGAGCTGATCGTGCAGTCCACCGTACTAGAAGTGTCTGCAATTAAAGTGACATTAAAAACGTAATTCTAACGTCGGCCTACACCACTCAACACAGTCTAAATTCAAAAAACAACCACCACAAGCAACGTGTCAAGAACTCATACGTTTTATAAACGGAATTATTCGCGACGCCTTTAAAATAGTTCTTCCAAAATGACTGTCTTAAAGAGGGAAATGCATTAAACCGTTAACTGGAGTCGAAATCCCTACTAACCAATATTTGAGATTTATAAAATAATTATATGGGCACTTCCACCGAAAAGTCACCAAGCCAAAAATCTTTAAACTTGAATAAAACATATTTCCACATGATTTTGCCCCGATATTAGTTTTTTATTAGTTGGATTTTTTTTATTGTACTGAGCTTAACTACAAATTTTGAGTATAGTTTGATTATTTTTATGACAAACCCCACCAATATACGCAAAAATCAGTTTTTGGCTATTTTTTTTGTTATTTTTTGGACCCGTCTTCAGTTGTGAATTTATCCTTTAGGAATGCTAATATGTGACATTTTTCTGTACTGAATGCTTCACTTAAATGTTAAACTATTAAGTTAAAAGCAAAACAGCCAGTACTTGAGGGATAGAGGTAAAGAAACAAAACAAAACGCTAAGAAAAAATGTTCTGAGCGACATGTTCCGAGCGAATGTGGTTGAAACTGCATAAAAAACAAGAAAGGTAGTTAGCTTCGGCAGGCCGAAGCTTATATACCCTTGCAGATTATTCTATTAATTTACAAATCGCAAAAATGTTACTTTTCCAATTATTTCCAGGGACCGTAAATAACAGTTATTTGTGATTTTTATTTTAAAAAGACTACTGTGATATTTAGTTTTAAACGTCAAAAATAACGTTCCTTTTAATTTTGTCCACAAAGTATATGCATTTCAACAAATCTGGAAAGCAATTTAACTGTTATTTGTTTATGTCTATAAAGTGCATAAAAACCAGTTAAATTGTTGATTAAAACTTGTACAAATCTCAGTAGGCCTTTTAAAATAAAAATCATTAATAACTGTTATTTACGGTCCCTGATTATTTCACATTAATTTTTTGATCGTTTCTATGGCAGCTATATGATATAGTAGTTCGGTCTTTTTATACCCTTGTATAGGGTATTATAATTTCAGTCAGATGTTTGCAACGCTGTGAAGGAGACGTTTCCGACCACATAAAGTATATATATTCTTGATCAGCACCAATAGCCGAGTCTATCTAGCCATGTCCGTCTGTCCGATCCGATCGGTTCCGACATATATACTACCTGCAATAGAAATAAGACTTTTGGGAAAGTTTCATCCCGATAGCTCAAAAACTGAGAGACTAGTTTGCGTAGAAACAGACGGACAGACGGACATGGCTAGATCGACTTGTCTAGTGATGCTGATCAAGAATATATATACTTTATGGGGTCGGAAACGTCTCCTTCACTGCGTTGCAAACTTCTGACTGAAATCATAATACCCTCTGCAAGGGTATAAAAACGGCAAACCATTTTTGAGTAAAACCAAAACCATTTCACAGCGACATATTTGGACAACATTCTAACAAAAATCGCATTCAAATATTCCATCAGAATTCGCTAAATTCTAGTGTTAAATGAACTTCCCCGAAAATCACTTATATTTTTACCCCTAGCGAATACGGCAGTTTTTTAACGATATCCTAAGAACTAAAAGTGTTACAAAATCAAGATTTTTACACAAAATAGAGCTTGGGAAGTTTCACTCTTCCAGGAAAGCGCATTATTAAAAATAAAATCCATTTTTTTCAAATTTTTTGCTCTTGTGTGCAAATGTCCCGAGCGATAATATGGAAGTGCCCATATGATAAAACATTTCATTATACCCTTGCAGAGGGTATTATAATTTCAGTCAGATGTTTGCAACGCAGTGAAGGAGACGTTTCCGACCACATAAAGCATAAATATTCTTCATCAGCACCAATAGTCGAGTCCATCTAGCCATGTCCGTCTGTTTCTACGCAAACTAGTCTCTCAGTTTTTGAGCTATATATTCCTGATCAGGGTCACTAGCTTAGTCGATATAGCCATGTCCTTCTGTCCGTCCGGATGAACGCTGATATCTCGGAAACTACAAAAGCTAGAAAGTTGGGCTTCTTACGAGGCGCAAGTTTGTTTCAGTCCATGTTCACGCCCCCTATAACGCCCACAATCGCCTTAAACGATTTTAAAAGGCGTCTGGTTGTGTTTATCAATACCTATCGAAATTTTGAAGAAATTTTTCAAGTCGGACTATTAACGGGTAAGTGATAGTCGGGCCACCCGACTATAGCGTTCTCTCTTGTAACAAGAGTCTTGCTGCTTATATAGTTTTCGGGATCTCAGCGTTCATACAGACGGACATGGCTAGTGTGACTCGGATAGATTGACTTAGCTAGTGATCCTTGTCAAAAATATGTCTACTTTATAGAGCCAGAAATGTTTCGTTCTACCTGTTACACACTTTTTCACTTGATTACTGCGGAAGTGGCGGCGATATTAACAAAAAGGTTTTTTTAGGTTTACGTAATTGTTTCTTTGCTCTAAAAATCAAAATTTGGAATAAATAAAATAAAAAACCTTGGTTCAGCGACAACGACAAAGGGTATATTGTATTCGTGCAAAAGTATGTAACAGCTAGAAGGACGCGTTTCCGACCCCATAAAGTATGTATATTCTTAATCAGGGTCACTAGCCCAGTCGATCTAGCCATGTCCGTCTGTCTGTCTGTCTGACTGTCTGTCTGTCTGTCTGTCCGTCTGTATGAACGCTGAGATCTCGAAAACTACAAAAGCTAGAAGGTTGAGATTTCCCACACATATTCTTGGGCTTCCTACACAGTGCAAGTTTATTTTAGTCGGGACACCAACCCGACTATAGCGTTCTCTCTTGTTTTCTTTTAAAAGTGGGACCATGTTTTATCTTTGAGTCTAACCGCATGTTAAAATTAAAGGATGACTTGAAAATTTATGAAAATTCAAACTTTAAAGCCTACTTTTGCCTTGTTTAACATTTAGTTTAAATTTTCACAATCAACATGCACACCTAAATGTATAATCTATAATTTGTATACCCTTGCATAGGATATAATGATTTCATTCAGAGCTTTGCAACGCAATTAGTAGGCGTTTCCGACGCCACCATCAGCATCACTAGAAGAGTCGATCTAGCCAAGTCAGTTTGTCCATCCTTCTGTCCGTTTTTTCGAAAACTAGTCTCTCAGTCTTTAAGCCATCGGGATAAACCTTTCCCAAAAGTCTTCTTTCTAGTGCAGGTAGCATATAAATCGGATCCGGACGGATCGGACAGCTATATCTTATAGCTCCCATAGGAAACAGAGAAGAACGTTAAAAAAAATTATTGCTTCGGTGTTTTTTTAAATATGACCTACTCTTGGGAATATTATTTTTTAAATATTTCTAAATTTTTGAAATTTAATTTTAATGAATTCGGATCACTATCACAAAAGGAACGGTCGGAAAATTAAATGCAAACTAAGGGCCGGTTTCTCGAGTGCCGGCTAACATTTCTCGAACAGATAAAGTCCCTGCTAAGGCATTTTGGCTTTCTCGAGCATAAATGTGAGAGCTAACTTTGACAGGGACTCGGAGTCCCTGTTAAGCGTTTTCGACTCGATAGAATGACAGCTGATTTCCCAAAGCCAACTATAAAGAAGAAACGAAATCACAACTGACTTTTCCTTTAAATTATACCCAAACAGCTGATGAAATAATCGAAGCATGCCATTTTTTGCGCTTCACAGCTCAATTCTATGCGTTAACAGTACTCTGTAATTGTTTCTCGTTCAGATAAATTAAAGCAGTCGAGAAAGCGGATTTGCTTTTACGAACAGTTTATCTGGTATTTAAGTTTTTCGAACAGATAGCTATCAGGGACTTTGACAGGGACTCGAGAAACCGGCCCTAAGAGGAACAAATTATATCTTTGTTGATTTTTATTATATTCTCTTCTTCTCTGGGACATGCCTTTGGTTTAATATTTCAGAGTTTCGAATTTAATTTAAAAATAATCGGGCGACTATATTATATAGCTGCCATAGGAAGATAGAAAAATAAATGTAAAAATTATAAGAAACAAAAGAGAACGCTATGATTTGCAAGGGTATATAATCTTCGGCTGGCCGAAGCTAGCTGCCTTTCTTGTTTTTATTATTTCTCCAGCTATTCCTATGGCTAGTATCTAGTATTCCTATCCGGCAAGTACGAGTAGAAAGAAGACTTTTTGGAAAGTTTAATCGCAATAGCTTTAAAACTGAGAGACTAGTTCGCATAGAAACGGACATGGCAAGATCGATTTGCTGTTGACGCAGATTAAGAATAACTTTATGTGGGCGGAAATGTCTCTTTCACTGTGAGTTCCATCGAAAGTAAAATAGGGCGAATATCTATAGCAATCGACTTTATGAATGTTCAAATTCCCAAATAAATAAGACACAGTCTAATTCAGCTGCTAACTTATGGCGTTGTTATTGATTGGTTGTTTTTTTCTATTGTACAAATGTATGTATTGCTTCCCCAGTAGTCGTTGTTGTGGCCACAACACCTTTCCGTATGGTAGAGGTTACTCACCCAGCAGGTGATGCACTGATATAACAAACAAACTCTTGGAAGTAACATTGTATTGCCGACATTTTTTCAAAAATTTCAAAGGCATTTTTGTCTGCTTCTTGGTCCGCCTGGGATCCGCTGGTTTACTAGTTGGCTAAAACAGACCCAGCACCATCGACTCTACAGGTATTTTAGCCAATCACCCAAATCGAGTCAGTTTCTAAAACAAGTAAGGCAGGGCACTGCGCGTCGCAGTCGAAACGATGTATTGCTACGGCAGCGCGATCTGAACGTTAAATAAAAGAATTCACAAAACAAAATCTAAATGAAAGAGTCTACATGCGATAGATGTGGAGAAACATCGATTAAAACATGCATCGAATCGATGTTTTAAAATTTTGTAGAAACATCGATGTTTTTGTAAATTTTGAAAACATCGGTGTTTGGTTTCTGTCTTCGCTGTTTCTCGGTTAAGTTAACATTGGCCGCGTTCAGCAGAACAACACGATCACTGATCACTGATGGATCAGAAATCAGTGATTAAGTTTCTTTTAAATTATTATTTTAATAAGTTTCAATATTTCAACTACGAAACATGCCAGAAGTCGTGTATCATGTATCAAGAAAAGGTAGCGAACTATTTTTACGCTACCTGATCACTGATCACTAATGCAAAATTCTCACTGGTCATTAAGTGGTTTTACATAGTAAACCATGGGGATTTAACTCATTGGCCGCGTTCAGCAGAACAACATGATCACTGATCACTGATGGATTTCTTACGATAGTTCTGCTGAACGCACATGATCACTGATCATGATGCAAGAATTTTGCATCAGTGATCAGGTAGCGAAAAAAAAGTACGCTACCTTTTCTTGATACATGATACATGACTTCTGGCATGTATCGATAGTCGGAATATCGAAACTTATTAACAAAATAATAAAAAAAAACCAAAAATTCGGTGGAATTCTTTATAATTGTTCAGCCATTTTTGATTTTTATGTATCCACGATAGCTGTGAGCAGTGCTGCAGTTGCGGGGGCGGGAAAAATATATATTTTCAAATTACGCGCGCAATATTTGTTATATATTTTACTTTTACGTCGTCGAAATGTATGATGAGCGTTCAGCAGAACAAACTTGATTACTGATCCATCAGTGATCAGTAATCATGTTGTTCTGCTAAACGCAGCCATTTACTCTTGAAAATTATCTACGTTTATTAGTTTAAAATAATAATAAACCAAAATTGTTTACTTTTAGTTTCATGTTTCTTCTTCTTTCTTATCCGGCAAAAAATAGGTCATTTTTCACGACACTGCTGCCACCATTTTGCAAGATTACTTTTGATCTCCAGGGGGGGGTCAAAAATAACCAAAAACGTGATTACGTAATATATGGACAGCCCTTTGGATGGTTTGCCAACGGTTATTTTTTAGGTAATTTTTTCGAGAGGTTTTATAAAGAATCACATTTTTAAAGATAACCCGAAGTAAATATGAAAATTTTATCAAGCAGATAGTTTATAAAATTCATTAGAGTTGTCTTAAATAAAGTTATATTTTAGACAAACACTTGTAAGATGGTTAATTTTATCAAAACGTCCGGCAAAGTACTGGGGATTTAGAAACCGTCAAAAATGACGTCTGGGACACCGAGATTTGCTTTTCGGGGGAAATTCGGTTGGAATGGATTTCTGTGACACCCCCGATAGTGGTGATATCGATACTAATTGGCTGAACTGCTTGGTCGCTGGCATAGAATTGATCGATAGACGATATTATCTATCGATAAAGCTTTGCTCAGTGGACTAAAGGTATTTTTTACACCGAATCAAGAGTTCTAATGTGGGTGACTCGAAAACACCCGCTACACACAGCTGCCCAATATTGCTACATCGAAAAATAGGTCCCAAACTGTTCACATAGGCTGCCGCTTTTACAAAAACATAAAGAAACCTTGAAGGAAGAAGGAAAAATACAATGCTTGTTATATCATGTAAAGATTGAAGTTGCTACCTTTTTACCTTATATAAGAAATGCTTTTTCGCTCATAACGAACTACAAATAATTAAACCATAGCCAAAAAACAGAACTTCAGCATTATTTAATTTTTTCCAGCCACTGATTTGATTTGTTCTCGTAGTCAACGTTCAATATTTCACAGTCAAGAGGAAGAATTCCGAGTTGCACCGAAAAAACATAGGGCGCGTTTAGCAGAACAACATGATACCTGATCACTGATGGATCAGTAATCAGTGATCAAGTTTGTTCTGCTGAACGCTCATGATACATTGCCATGACTTAAAAGTAAACAAATATATCAAACAGTGCGCGCACAATTTAAAAAAAAAATATTTTTCCTGCCCCCGCAACTGCAGCACTGACCACAGCTATCGTAGATACATAAAAATCAAAAATGGCTCAACATTTATAAAGAGTTCCACCGAATTTATGGCTATATTTTTACGCTACCTGATACCTGATCACTGATGCAAAATTCTTGCATCTTGATTAGTAATCATGTGCGTTCAGCAGAACTATCGTAAGAAATTCATCAGTGATCAGGTATCATGTTGTTCTGCTGAACGCACCCATATAATGTATCGCTTAAATGAGTCCGTCAAATTAGGATGGCAGACTAAAGGCATTTTTCCCTTATGCGGTTTTTTCGGTATTTTTGTGTTTTTTCGATTAGCAGCGCGATAGGCGGACGTGAGGTGTTTCCATTGACAAATGCGTCTGAAAACAGCTGTTCTGCTATTGTCATTTTGCGAGCCGAAGTAAAAAATAGATTTAAATAATTTGTTATTGATAATTGTAATCGCAGAACAGCATTTGAAACATTGCTGCAATGATAAAAGCAATAACAACTTCCCACGTTATGACAAAACTTTACGAATGGCTCTCTGTGGGAAGGCGCCATAGGCCATCGATATTACCGATAGATTTCCTGCTCCAGCGACTTCTCTTACTAGAGATGGAGATGGACATCGATAAAACATGAGTGTAAAAATGCCTTATTTTTTGGCAAGTAAGAAATTTTTTCTGTAACTCCCTAATATAATATTTTATACAAATGTCTGCACGTTCAGGCACAAATACTTACACTGTACATATGTACTTACCTAAATGAATATTGCGCAGATTCTGCTGAAAAGGCGTTGTATTCAGGTCTCCGTTAATGTACACGACATCAGGCAACAAGACCAACAAAACAGTAAGTAATATAAAATATAATATAAAAAATGTACAAGACATGTATGTATATAAAACGATAAACATCGATGATTAAGGCCAAACATCGGTGTTTTTAAAATTAAAAAAACATCGATGCCGATATTTCCATCGATGTTTTTCCACCTCACCTCTATCCACCTTCGCTCAATTTAAATTAAGATCGTGGTTTATCTTTTCACTAACTGTGAATAGAAATTGGTTGTGCACAAAACGGATAGAGAGCGAAAAAGCAGGAAGAATCAAAGAAACCGTAGAGTTTAATCAAGTGATTCTGGGCGAGACTAGAAACGGCGTACTCAGATCGGTGAGTTTTCTTTGAGTTCCTTTGTTGGAAAGCCAATCCAATAGGCCAGGCGCAGTTAAAAAACAAAATCCATAATTCCTTTATGTTAAGATTAACGATATGCTGCATTGGCGGTCAAGGTTACAGAGGCAAGGACGGATGAAGCAATCTCATTCGCACGAATACCACTCAAAACTCTCTCACACACACACAAAAGTGCGCCTGTGAACGAGTTTAAAGTTCACTACCTGTTGCTAGACTCGCCCGATCCCTTTCATTCGCACCCTCAACGATGTGTGTGATGTATTTCGATTTCGCTCACTCCCTGTCTGAATGTAATTAAATTTAATTCACTTATGTTATTAATTTGTACTATTTGCACGCAGAATCGCTATCTTCCACGTATGTACAATGTTCATTGTACATACATACATATGTAGATATGAGTTTGTATCAGTATCAGTCCGAGTCGTAGGCTGAATTGCATAACTAAACACGATTCGAGTCCGCAATTGTCAATCTTGTCATATTTGCTGATGCTGGCTGTGCTGTGTTGTTGCTTTTAAGCACTCTTTACGAGCGACATTATTATTCATATTTATACCCGTTACCCGTAGAGTAAAAGGGTACACTTGCCAGAAAAAGTATGCGTACAAATATTTTCCGCAACTTTAGAGCTTAAAAAACGTCTTTAAAAAAATTCGTAAAAATGTCATTTTAATTTTAACATTTAGTACACATATTAAGCTTTAATTTGACGTAACTTATTAATTTCTAGCACCTTTACTTTTCCTAATATAAATAAAAATGTACAAATTGGCCGGATTTCGCATCAGAAAAAGTATGCGTACAAATGCATATGGTATTAGAAAAAGCATTATTTTGGGCAAAGTACGTCGAGTTTAGTACGGAGTTTGATACCCTTTATGTTTTATAACTTCAGTCTACATATTCGTCATCGATTGGACCAATGTCCTTGCATCCATCGCCGTTATTTGATTCCATTCCTCGACATTGAGTTTTTTCAGGATATCCTTGGATGCAAGGGTGTGAAGGCGAGTCCTGCCCTCCAGGACATCACAAAAATGCTTTACGGGATTGATATATACTATTTTGATGGCGAATGTAGCTGTTTTACACATAAAAGCTTTGTTTTGTGGGCGCAATGTTTAGGTTCGTTGTCCTCTTGGTACCAAAAGTCCTTTTCGAGTCCCACTTTCAGGACGCTTTAATTTCTTGTCTTAAAGTGCATAAAACAACCAACAAAATGAGGTATCGTTTATTAAAATCGGTCAACAACTTAACGAGAAATGGCTAGCCATATAACCAAACAAACAACTGCTTTGGCGTAATGCACGAATTTCATACGAATTTCAAAAAAAACTAACCTTCTATCTAAATAAGAAAGTTTTTATACCCATTTCTCGTTAAGTTGTTGACCGATTTTAATAAACGATACCTCATTTTGTTGGTTGTTTTATGCACTTTAAGACAAGAAATTAAAGCGTCCTGAAAGTGGGACTCGAAAAGGACTTTTGGTACCAAGAGGACAACGAACCTAAACATTGCGCCCACAAAACAAAGCTTTTATGTGTAAAACAGCTACATTCGCCATCAAAATAGTATATATCAATCCCGTAAAGCATTTTTGTGATGTCCTGGAGGGCAGGACTCGCCTTCACACCCTTGCATCCAAGGATATCCTGAAAAAACTCAATGTCGAGGAATGGAATCAAATAACGGCGATGGATGCAAGGACATTGGTCCAATCGATGCCGAATATGTAGACTGAAGTTATAAAACATAAAGGGTATCAAACTCCGTACTAAA